AAATAGTAGTCTTATTTACGGAATAGTAAAGGTTTAGCAGCCACAAATATTTGCATGCTGGACTTGCTCACTCAGGTGCGACTGAAATATCAGGTACAGATAACCTGATAACAGATAACACTGTAAGATTGTTACCCAAATTATCCATTTGTCAGATTTACATCCTTTAATTTTCTGCGTAATTTCACCCTCTTTCTCTGGACAATTTCGAACCACCTCCTCCTAAATTGCATAACAAGGTGGAAACATTCACATTTTCTTTTGCTGAATTACTGTAAATTTGGTTAAAATTTGCAATACATTCAGATGGAAACACAGCTACTGTAAACATCGATCACAGTTTACAGACCTACCTGCTTTTATTTGACCTACTGTATTTACTGAGGTTGTGCTCACACAGCATTCTTGTGTTCGGCAGCCCATATTTGAATGTTGGAGATTCTAACCGCACGTGAACACACCACACACTGGGGTCTGACCTCCAGATTTCAATCCTCTATCATCCTGTTGAATATTGAATTTATTCCCAGCTCTGTGGTTTGGAGTGGTTTAGACCTCTGGTGTTATCAGAGGTTTTGCTTTAATCCCATATGAGGGAGTGATGCTCCATTATGTAAGATTTAGGTTGATCTCCCACAATGTGCTATTATCAATCACACACTGACCTACATTCTCCACACTCTTCATCCCCCGGCCCCCATCATACCTCCTAAAACCAATCTGTCCTCAATATGCCTCCTGATAGTACCTGTCCCAGCTTTCTGGGCTTAAACTACATCTGTTTCTGCTACCAATAGCAACCAAAGGCCACTGTCATTTATGTCTATTTTGTATTTATGGTACCAGAAATTGACGTAGTAATATCAGTTATAGGGATCGTTGACTGTTCCTAAGCAATATTGTAACATTAGTGTCTTTCCCTGTCCCAGGCCAACCTGTGTTTTGTGGACATTGACAACCATTACATCGAGCTTCCAGAGGACTTCCCCCACTTCCCTAACAAGACCGAGTTCATTCAGGAGCTCAGCGAGGTGCTGCTTAGTTTTGGCATACCCACCAACACAGGAGCTCCACCACGGACCCGCTCCAGTCCCGGCAGCACTCCCGGCAGCGCCCCTTCAACCCCTGGCAGGGAGCGCAAGACTGTCGCTCTCCGGCAGCTGGAAGACGATGGGCGTAACGGCAACCTGGCTGGGGAGGAGCTGGCTGTGCTGGAGCTGCTGCAGGGAAACGCCACGCTTGAGAGACTGCAGGCGCTCACCAAACGCACTGGGGTGACGGTGGCCCGCGTGGACGCCCTGAGAGCCGGAGTCAAAGCTCAGAGCATTGAGGGGCAAGGGGGCAGGACTGCGGCTGAAGAGGAGGAACTGAAGAACGCCAAGCTGAACGTCCAGCTGAGGGAGGTGTTCGCCAGCCGCTTCACCACCATGTTTGCAGACTACGAAGCCTTTGTCATCCAGAGCGCCCCAGACCTGGAGTCCTGGCTCACTAACAGGGAGCAGATGCACAACTTCGACAAGGTGACTAAATCAAGCACAGACATAAAGTTTGAGACTATCTTTGTTTCTGTGTGTCTTTCTCGGTTCTCTCAACAGAGAGGTTTCTTGCTAAGACACGCTGTACAATGCTGTACAGAGTGGAAAGAGATTATTCTGAGGGTAAAATTGGATTGTATGTGTATAAGACTGGGAAACAAATTCAGTTCGACATGTTCTGTGCCTGTATGATGAATTATGACCTGCATTCAGAGCAGTGTAGGGATTGTAAATGATAGTGTTTGCATACAGCATGCAGTACATTTCCCTTGTGAATTGTGGAAATGCCATCTATTGCACAGTATTGAAAATAGGTCTGCTGTTGTGAATAGATGGAAATTTGTTCTCTATATTCTCAAACCGTTATTTCAGTTTAAGTAAAAACCTTGATTTTATTTGGAACAGGCTGTTATTTCTAAGTTGACCTTTTGCGGCAGAATATTTTATAAATGTTAGTAATGTTTGATATTTTAAAACATGCTGTAAGAACAGGGACAGGGTTACTTGTCAGAGATCTGCACTGACTGATGATTGCAAGATCTGCCTTGCAATCATCTGTAGTGTGTTTTAATACAAAGTCACAGTTTAGTCATTTACATTTTTTTCTTATGTCGACGCACAACTGAAGAAGCTCCCCCATTAACTAAGCAAACAATTATGTCTACGCTGTCTGTCAAATCCCTATTTAATGATTCCAAAGTCATCTGTTAGAGTAAACATAGACAACTATGCTGCTGTGTGATCAACTATATTGGCATTTAAAACGAGTGATCACAAGAAATTCTAGGCAACAGAGAGTCCACTTCTTAACTTCACTTTTACAAAGTTCTATTTTCCCCTTCCACACAAAAACACAAGGCTGGTGTTTTTACATTTATCCACTGGCTTTATTGTGGACATAAACTAAATGGTGTACTATTAATACACGCCCTAACCCCTAAATGACATTTACAGTGAAGCAGCAGAGATCATAAGATGTAGCTTTATTAATTAATATATTTTTAAAGCTTTTTTAATTTTTGAAAAAGAAAGTGATTTTCATTTTAAATCCCAAAGAAACAAACCCTTCCATAGTCAAAAATGACAGATATAAACACAAAAATAGACTTGATTCTCATTCTTCTTTAAAAAAAAAACTAAACCCCTTAAAACTCAAAAGGAACCCTTGTTTTGTTCTCTGTAAGAACTTTATCTTCTTCTTTTTCATTTGTGGCAACATGCACACAGTTCAGTGTCAGGAACAGTATGAAACTTATTAGTGAGGAGGAGTGGCTGAAAAAAAGATGAGCCCCTGTATTGGAAATTCATATATAAAAATGTTTTGGCATTAAAAGAACACAAACGTGATCAGTGATGCTAATATTAGGAAACTGACAGCATATATTTCTGTATCTCCGTGCTCGTCCAGGCCTCGTTCCTGTCTGACCAGCCGGAGCCCTACCTGCCCTTCCTCTCCCACTTCATCGAGACACAGATGTTCGCCACCTTCATCGACAACAAGATCATGTCCCAGTGGGAGGAGAAGGAGCCACTGCTCCGAGTCTTTGACGCTCGCATCGACAAGGCCCGCCTCTACAACGTCCGTGCTCCCAGCCTCCGATCTTCCAGCTACCAGAGGTGCTCCATCCTCAAGGAGTCTGGTAAGCTCAGCATGGAGAGGCGTGAGTGCTCAGATGTGTTAGAGAGTGGTTTACTTCACACAAAACATGATTAAAATTGGACAAAGATGGTTGGAGAGGCTTAACTGCATCAGAAAGTTTTAATTGGCAACAGGAAAGCAGCTCATTGATCATCATGCTGGCACATGTCTGCCTGTCCTTCCAAGCATACCAATCGTCCATTAGCCGAGGTCAAACAGGATTTGCGATTTAAAAACACACAAACACTCTGCATCCATCTCTCTCCCTTCTTCTCCATTTCTCCTTCCACTTTTGTCTCTCATTTATCGTCTGGAAGCAGCTCAGCTCTCCCCAGTGACCAGAAAACCCCACTTCTCATTTCTCTACATCCCAACACAGCAAACATTCCATCACTCCCTCTCTCTCTCACACACATTAGCACAAGCACACTCTCTCTGACATGTCTTACTGCAAGAATGTTTAGTCAGTTCTTTTTTCTTCTTATTTTCTCAATTAGTGCTGCTTGGCTTTCCCTTCGTTAAGCCTTTAATTGGTGCTGAATGTGCAGCATGAGGCAGGAGGTCAGACTCAGGACTGACTCAGACTGTTGGAGGCCAACAGGGAATCTATGAGGCTGCATGTGTCTGTTTGTGGTTTACTGATGTTCATCAAACTGTAAAAGAGCCGGTTGAAAAAAACGGTTAATTTGTTACTAAATGATTATTATTTTTTTAGTATTTTACACACACTGACTGCCAGTTCTAGCTGTTAATTAGACGGCTGAAAATCTGTTGGTGGGCATATTCTTTTCTCTTTGGACAAAGATAGGCTAGTTGTTTTTTCCTTTTTCAAATCTTTATGCTAGCTACGCTAACCTTCTCCTTAGTCAAGCTCTGTGCTTAAACCTGCATTAACTGATTTTATGGCCACACCAACATATTACCCCCTTGTTTGGAGTTTGGCAAGTAGGGAATAGTGGGTTTATTAACTAGCTCCAGCTATCCTCAGGTAAATTGGTGTCAGATTGGTAGCGACTGCGAGGTTAGCTAGCTAACACGATGGCTGAGGAAGGAGAGAAGATTGACGACAATGGGGACTGTTTGTTCAATAAAAAAATGTTAGAAAGGATTTTTAATTTATTCATAATTTTTAACATTTGATTTATTTATTCAGTGGGCATAGGCTATTCAAAGTCTGGGGCTATGTTAGCAATGTAGCTATAAAAGCAGAGAGATATAGGAACTATATAGTTAATATGCGCACTCGAATATTTGTTTATTTATTGCGAGTCATCATGCGATTCCACATCGCAGATTTTCCTCATGTGAGAGCAGTAAGATAGTAAACTTGTGTCTGTAAAACCAAAGCAATGACCTAAAGGAGGGTAAAATTGTACTGTACTGTTGAACTGCAAAGTTGGTGTAGATTCCCCATGGGATTCATCTCTATGAGCCTCACAACTAATAGCTGTCTATCTGAAATATTTCAGTGTTGACTGAAACAAAAAATTGCCTTAATGACTGCAAAATTGCAGAATATGATGTTATGGAATGTTATGAATGCATTCTGAAATAGCTTTAAAAACTGTTTTGGACTGATATATCAGAGATATAACAATTATTCACAACAACAGAGATATCAGCTATATATGACAGAACACACTGATTGTATCAACTTTCAGTTTGGCTCAATATTCTCAGTTTTACAGTGTTTCATAGCTCAGATCATTATCTCTGTCTATGAGAATGATCAGGGTTATCATTTCACTCAGTTGTTTCCTGTATTACCTCCTTTGTATTGTTATGTACAGTATGCTTGTCATCTGTTCCTGACCCACACTGTTTCATCTTAATGGGCCAAGCGATGTAAAGCATTAATTGCAGAGGGTGAGCTCATTCGGGGGTGATGGTGCATGCAGGTAGCCAATTACCCAGACAATAGGCAGTCTTTCCCTCCGCCTGCTTTCCCCTGTGGCGAATCGCTTCGGTACCTCCGCTCGTTGCTCACTGCTTGCTCACACTGACTGCAGCTCCTGCCTGAGGAGTTCAGTCAGACACAAAAACAATTTCAGTGTTCTGGCAGGGCAACATAACCCAGACAGTTTAACCAACAGTTGCACTGACAGACGGCCGATAAGAATGCAGCCTTGTTTGCTGTTGCTGCTGTGTTAGGAGAAGATAAAGCAAGTGAAGGACAGAGGGAAAAGTCAGTCTGTGTTTCTGTGGATCCCTGCGGTAAGAGAGGGAGTAATGAATGAGTCAGAGGAAGGGCGAGAGACAGATGAGAGGACACCATACTCCATCTGTGATTTATAATGTAAACAACCTTTTTTGAAGTCCAGCCAGGTTTTTTCTTCTTGGCAAATGCACAGCTGTTAGAGCATATTATGCTTGCTTCACCATGCTGGGAGGGGTGTGTGTGTGTGTGAGTGTTATTTATCATTGTTTGTTAGGTCTTGTTTTGCATTTGTTTACATGGCTGTCTATTTGGCTACATTTACACACTGCAGCTGAAATTTCACCAAATCACGTTTGTTGTCCTTCACAGGTCACCTGTGTGTGAGCACAAGTGTATTTTTTATCTAATCATTGGCCATGGCTACACGTCTTTGTCACTGCATCCTCATTCACCTGATTACACCAGCTTACATCTTAGTCAAATCAAAGGATAATTCCAATTTAATGCAACTTCAGTCTTGTGTTTGTAATTTTGGATGTCATTCCTTGTACTTGGCCAGTTGCTAAGGTCTGTGAACATGACGATGTCACTAAAAACAGATGTGGAGGGGCAGAAACATGTGCCATCAGAAAGGTTGTAAGCAAACCATCAGGTTAACCCAACTTATTTGGAAAAAATAAATGTAGGCAATGGATGTATAACAGACCGTTAATATAATTAAATGAGAATAGCTAGCCAGCTTACTACTGATTTAGATCAGTATGCTAGTTATCTAGCGTTATGCTAACATTAGCTAGCTAACTTGATGTATCAGTATATACAGTATATGTCGCTTTTATATTTTAACCATCTTGTTGTCTTGTCAAAATAGACAGGCCTAGCCCATAGCATATCTAAGTACATTAAAGGAGAAAGTTGACAACTGTTATTGGAGCACAGAGCCTGAAGGGGTGGGACTAGGGTCAATTTGACCATATAAAATGTTGAGTGATGTTGCTATGTTCTCAGATCTCAGCAAGTACTTTGGTGAGTACACTGCTATCATAACAGATATAAACAATGGATAAAACTATTTTTCAGTGCATTGATTTTCTATGATTACATGGACTACATCACAACTGAATAAAAATGTTTATTTGTTTAACACTTCCTGCCCGAGTGTTGTCTGATGGGATTCTGTCTCCTCTTACAGCTCAGGCCATCGAGCAGCGGCTGATGAAGATCGACCACACCGCCATCCACCCGCACCTGCTGGACATGAAGATCGGTCAGGGCAAATACAAGCAAGGATTCTTCCCCAAACTGCAGGCCGACGTGCTCAACACGGGGCCGACCAACAACAAGTGAGTCAACCTCCACCTCATGACCACCAGCTGATTCCGCTATTACCACCAGCATTTTATAGGCTCGCTGATTTTAACATGCATGTTTTCATGTGTCATGCTTACGAAAGTCTTTATGCTAAGTTAGGCTAACCATGTCCTGATTCAAGCTCCTCAATACACAGACATAAGATTGGTAACAATCTTCTTGTCTCATTCTCAGAAAGAAAGCAAATTTGACTATTTTCCTAAATCACTTTCCTACTAAGTGATGAACTATTCCTTTAAGGTGCATCAAACAGAAGTGTCATGGGGGTATTAATGGTTTGACAACCTCCTCTTATATTTGACTCAGGAAGACATTAAAATCTTTTTAAAAATGGTCTACTTACTCGTTGTTTTAACTGCAGGTGGTCTCATAGGACAGCAACAGCTCAGCGAAGGAAAGACCGCCACAGACAGCAAACAGAGCATCTGACCCTCGACAACGACCTGAAAGAGGTAAAAAAAAAAAAAAAACTCACACCCAACTGTAACATGCCCTCTGAACGCCCTCCAACGCTATGTTGTGTACAAGCATGTCTTTATTTTCTCTGTATGTCTCATGGAGTTTGTTTTTTGTTGTGAAACTGAATTCCTGCTTGTTTCTGTTTGAGCTTTCTTTTTCTTTAAGACTTCATTTGCATGCTGCCTTCTGTTTTCTTCCCATTCTTCTCTTTTGTTCCTGTCCTCTCCTGTCTGCTTGCTCGTGTGTCCTGTGCTGGGTTGGTCGGGGGGGTCGGGTCGTTCCTCCTCTTCCTCCTCCTCAGCAGGTGGAGGGCTGCCCGGTCCTGCAGAACTGCATGGCGTTTTGGGAGTGGGACAATGCGTCCCTTCCGCCTATCAAACCGCCTAAAAAATCTGCCTCTGCATCCTGTCTGGTATGTGGAGTAGCTGCCTGTGTTGTGGACTCCCTGTCACAGACCCCTCCACCCCCCATTTTACACTCTTACCCAGGGTTCCCACTGGTTCTTTGGGTTAAACTGCTGTGAATTACAAAAAATGGATCAAAATGATGATAATGATGAAAATAACTACATCGTGATGCAGAATTGTAAAAAGTCGGAATTAATGCTTTGTAAAGTCTGTAAATGTTTGTTTTCTTAGTTTGGATTTAAGTATGCTAACTTGATTCATAGTTAATTAAAAACCATAGCTGGAATCAAGTAACAGACACATATTTTCAGAACTTACCAAGTAGTCCAACTTTCTTACTTACTTTTCTTCAAGCGATCTCCTTTATTTATATATATAGTTTAAAACTCAAATACAGCAGAGTTGTATATAATTGCATAGTGTGACCCTTTGTATCTCAAAGTTGAATTCTTCCCAAAAGCACTATGCTCATTTACTTCCACAGACTTACCTACTGAAGACAGCAATTCCATTGAAATAAATTCATTTCAGGCTAAAATGTTATTGTTATAAACACTGGTGTGACCAGGCCCTGAGCTGAAAACCAAACATTAAACAACAGCAAAGCAGAAAGTTTTTATTTCAGGCAAACTTTGAGCTATGGAAGCTGAGGAGCTTCAGGCTACATCCACTACTGCTACATTTCAGTTTTATATCTGCGTTTTAAAACCAAAACAATGTCCACAAAATACTTCCGAATAATGCTGTTTTTATTGAAACAGTGTCCACCGTCCATACAGGCTCAAATACAACACATACCCTAAGTTCACATGCAGAATGGCTGAACAAACAAACAGCAGGCTAACCAAAGCCATCATATACTGGCAAACTTTGATGATGCATCAAAACAAATCCATTTTTATAGACCACGACATCTATGAAACAGTACTTGCTTTCACAGCTTCTCACTTTAAAAAAACACACATTTTTGGGTGAGGCTTGTTCCTAAATGAGATGGTCTTTATTAAAGGTGCTGTTAGTGAAATCAGCATTGTAGTTAATTTCATGTCCATCCTGTCCGTTAGCACTCCCCTCCCTCTTCCCCACTGTCACCACACCGAAATTCTGCTGCCTGCCTCTTTGTGGAGTTCTCTCTCCTGATTAGATAAAATGGGAATGGGATTTTCTCTGTTTACTGTGGAAAGGAGGGACTGGAAGATCCTTGTTACTGACTGACCTCTCTATATCAGTGATGGCTGTCAGAATGTAGAGCTATTTAACACTTATTTTAACAAAAACAATATTGCTTACAGCTACTTTAATGAAAAATGGTATTGTCCCTTAAAAAAAGTTTTGTTTTTTTAAATGTGTCCTTCTTTGTCAGTTTGATCATGCAGCATCATTTGTCTAACGTATAATGACAGCAAGTGAGACATCAGATAATGCTAATGGAAGTGAGCGTGTTTGACACATGGTGTGTGTGCTGTGTTAAAAAATCGACAACAGATGAAGCATATCTCCTGATTACTGTGTTGTTGAGGCCTGATCAGAGTGCGTGCTCTCCAGAGCTCACTAACTGCTTCTGTCTGGTCTTCAGAAGTACATGCAGGAGGCCCGTAGCCTGGGGAAGAACCTTCGACAGCCCAAACTGTCTGATCTGTCTCCCGCCGTCATCGCCCAGACCAACTGGAAGTTTGTGGAGGGGCTGCTGAAGGAGTGTCGCATGAAGGTGAAACATACAGCCGATTGTGGCCCTGCACTTAGAAAGGATTCATTAGTCTCACCAACCCAATACCTAAAAGCAGTACATGAACAGACTTTCCCTTCAAACCATATATATAGTTATCAGAACATTGCCATTGATTGTTCTAACTGTGTGTGTGTGTGTGTGTGTGTGTTTAGACCAAGCGTATGCTGGTGGAGAAGATGGGCCGGGAGGCAGTGGAACTGGGCCACGGTGAGGCCAACATCACTGGACTGGAGGAGAACACTCTGATCGCCAGCCTGTGTGACCTGCTGGAGAGGATCTGGAGCCACGGGCTGCAGGTCAAACAAGTCAGTGTGCCACACACACACACACACACACACACACACATACACACAGGGGCTCAAAAGTGAAGCTTCATATTGTCAGAAACCGGCGCACATTTATTACAAATCAGATTCCTTATAAAGCAGATCTGATGGCGCGCGCACACACACACACACGACAGCAGCGCACAACCAACACACAGCATGAGTCAGTATAAACACACGGTGGTTAATCAGGTATTTATAACCATATTGGATATTAAGGCTAAGAGGTTATTGCCTGATAAATCCTCTTTGTGTGTGTGTATAATCTCCTCCCTCATCAGTGAATGCATTAGCTGTCTTTGTGTGTGTGTGTTGTGATTTTGGTTCTCTGACACACACTTCTCTCTCAGGGGAAGTCGGCCCTGTGGTCCCATCTGCTGCACTACCAGGCCCGAGAGGAGAAGCTGGAGCAGCTGGCAGAGTCACCAGGTAACACACACACACTCACACACACACACACACACATAGTCTGACAAATTGTGTAACACAGCCATCACATCCTGTATTTCTCCTCAACAGTGTCACATGTTCCTGAGAGGAGGAAGTCCGATTGTTCCATAGCGATGCCGTCTCTTCGCGTGTCTCTCATACAGGATATGAGGTACGTGCTGCTGTCCTCTACTGATGGCAAGGTGTCTCATCAGGATGGCGGTGGAAAATCAAAACTTCCTCAGATCTCACTCTGCTGGTTAGAGAACTGAATTTGAGACTCAAAGCAAGATTTGGTATTTGTTGCAATGGGGCACCCCCAGTTGCAATACCACTGTGGTAAATATTAGCAGCTGTACACATGCATTTGTTATCATAAGATTACTTATGATCAAAAACTAGTGAGACGACAACGTGCCTAACACAGCAAACACAAGACATAGCAAGCCAGCTAATATTACTGACTAGTCCAACAACAAGAAGGCCAGCTCGCCATCTGTATACTGCTTTGTATTTCACCAAGCTCTCACCAACCATTAAAAGCCTATCCCACATTTACTCTTGCCTAGGCGGTTCTCTCTCCTTCTAGCTTCGTGGCTTCCTCCTTTGTCCTATTAGGTCCCTGCCATTAGCTATGACCATAGAAGCTGCTGAGCCTGCCCAGCTACATTGACAACTCGCACCAACGCAGCTCTCCGTCAGCATTCCTCCCCTATCCCAAGCCTGAAAACTTCTTCTCCCGCAACCAACCAGTCCCAGCTAAGCTAACAAGCATTAGATAACAGCAGCTACATCTGGCAGCAGTTACTTCACTGTCCATCAGGGAACTCTGTAAATTACCAAGAACTGAGGCAAAGCAGCTGGAGGACATCGGAGGGAAAAACAGAAAACATTTTCTCCATGAAATATGATGCAGTTTCAGCAAAATCTGTGAATTAGCAGGTGTTCGCGTGACTAGTGCCATAAAGTGGTTGGCACTTGTTGTGACCCGAAGTTACATAGTGCAAGAACAGATGTAAAAGCTGTTAAGGACCTGGACCAGAAATCGTCTTCTGTGCAGCAGAGACCTAGAAAAGAGGCCAGACTGCACTAACTGAAGTAAAAGCAGATAAGGAATGCTAATGGCAGTGGGGATAGTTCCAGTAGTTCATCACTCAACTCACTGAACATCAGAGTGAGGAGGGTGGATCATTATGCCAGCGTGCCTGTTCGTATGAGCTCTCATTCATCTATCCTCTGTCTCTCCATCATGTGTCTCCTCAGGCATATCCAGAGTATGTCAGAGATAAAGACGGATGTGGGACGAGCGAGAGCCTGGATCCGCCTGTCTCTGGAGAAGAAGCTTCTCTCTCAGCACCTCAAACAGCTGCTGTCCCGACAAGCCTTAACTAAGTGAGCACACAACCAAACTCACACACACACATATCACACACACTTTGTGCTTTTGATTGGTGAGATTGATCTCCATGTTCTTGCCTGAGATTGCATGAGCTGACCTGGCTGTGTTGTCGCGGTGTATCTACAGGAAGCTGTACAAGCGTTACGCCTTCCTGCGCTGTGAGGAGGAGAAGGAGCAGTTCCTCTTCCACCTGCTCTCTCTCAACGCAGTCGACTACTTCTGCTTCACCAGCGTCTTCACCACCATCAGTGAGTCCTCCTTCAGCTGCACCTCACCTCTGACCTCTGTTTGGCCACAGCAGAGCTTCACTGTTCAATCCAAACCTCACATCAAACATGTATCACAGCACAGGTCACAAACTGAGCAGCTCTGCATGTATTTAAGTGACTGAAATCATCAAACTTAGAGAGTAGAGACACACATTTCTACTAAGATCATTTTCAGGCCTCTCAAACTATTCAATTCAAACAATCCGAGAATGCTTATATTTCATAGACAATCTTAACCGACAAATGGTCAGACACGCAGATTTAATCCAGAGGAACAAATGAAGGACTACTTTTGGATGCATCCATGTTTTATTACTTGCAAAATGTGAAAAAATTAAAAGCTTAGTGATCAGGACCACTCATAAACATTTTATGATGGTTTGTGACGAGTTGTTGCTCATAAAATAGCAGATAAAACACAACTGATATTGAGAAAGTACATATAAAATATTCCAACACAACAACACATCACTTTTCAGTTTGTTCTTGCATAAAAAAAGAGTCTCAGGGTTTAGGGAGGGACTCTAATGCCATATAAGACTCCACCTGACAGCTGGCAAATGTTTATGATGATGATGATGATGACTAATCATAAGTCACGCTTATATTTAACCGTACAAACGTGCAATGTGATGTGTGAGTGGATTCAGCAGTAAACAGCAATGGTGCACTGCTTCAGGCCTGTCACTATACTGCTTAATGATCCAGCCATGCATACATACATGCATCCCCCCATCTATACAGTTTCTGCTGGTCAGGGTCGGGGAGGAAACAGAGCAGCCAATACAAGCTTTTCCCCAGAAACTTTCCCACGTCTCAGTGCACTCTCAGGCTATTTGAGCAATGTAATTCCTCCAACATTTTATTATTCGATGACAGTTTTCATCATCATGGTTGCACAAGGCACTATGTATTGCTGTCTGTATATAAGATTATTTTCTTTCCATATCCATTTTTATGAAAACCTAAAGAAAAACAAACAAAATGTTGTGTTCACATAACTACAGCAAGGCTATCGGGTCAGCCTCTCATTCAGATAAATGAACACACACTGTACAACAGACATGTACTGCTGCTGTGCTATCTGATCTGTTATTCTGTTTCCTCTCTGCTGCAGTGTGTTTGCCCTCAATCTGTGATTTCATAATTAAATTGACCCAGTAAGATAACCTACATTGAGTCTAATTAGCATGTTAGTGTTTATTTATCTGTCCTGGTCCTGACGGGTTGTCTTCCCCCTCCCCTCTGCAGTGATCCCGTACCGAGTTGTCATCATCCCTATCAAGAAGCTGAGCAACGCCATGACCACCTCCAACCCCTGGGTGTGTGTGTCAGGAGAGCTGGGAGACTCTGGCATCATGCAGATTCCCAAGAACGTCCTGGAGATGACCTTCGATGTGAGTAATGTCACCTTTGACCTCTCAGCACACGGTCAGTCACTGTGATTTGTTGTGTTTTGGTGCAGTTTGGGTGATGTGGGGTTTTGTGTGTCAGGCATGTTGTTCAGTTACACTTCCTCTGTTTACCTCCTGTCACTGTGGAACCATCACACTCTGCATGCCATCAGCACTTACACTAAAGGAACTACAGGTAGTTTTAGGAAGGAAGGAATTACAGCATTAAAATGTGCATTGTTTGCACATGTCAGCACATATGAACACCTTACTGCATACCTATATACATCTACTTTCATACTCACTTACATAGCAAGCTAAAATATCAATTCTTCCTAGCTTCAGGTTGTGAAGTGCCAGGATACTTTTCTCTGTTTTATATCATTTACATACTGTATGTTTAAACACATCAGCTCGGACCCTGGGGTCTTGTCATGGACCTTTTTCACTCTTTCTTGACGTATTATTGAACAAACTATTGATCAGATGATTCATCAATAATGCAAACAATCTCACCTGAGTTCCATTCAGGAGTGGTTTGTAAAAATACAACTAAATGGATCTTGTAGTGAGATTTTGTCAACCTGTTTTGAAGGGGTGTCACAAAACCGACATTGACGATAACCTTTAAAAAGTGAAATACTGATAACACATATAATAATATTTTTCCAGTGCCTCTTAAATCTTTCCGTTTCCTTCCATTCTCGCTCACACAGTAAGGGGCGCTAATTCATATGGCAAAAGAGAGACAAAACAGACAATAAAAGTACTGATTAGTATTTTAATTTTATTTTATTATTGTTTATTTTTTATAGCCCTATCATCCTGGTCTCCTTTTTAACCAATGCATAATTAAATAGACTGATACAAACATCACTGACCACTGCAGCTCCTCTAGAGACATTTTCCTTACTGAATGGGCCTACAGACCTGCTGTCCTCCTCACACTGCATGCCTGGGCTGGTGATGTGTTTTTTTTGTTCTTTGCATGATGGATGATGTTCTGGTTCTGTGATCGCCAACCCGCCATTTTTATTGTCCATCCATTGTGTCTTAACAAGTGTTTCCATCTCCCTCAGTCTGCTTTCAGGCCTCACACGCACATGTCCGCCTTGTTCAAGGTTAGAGAAAACCCCCTGCTCCCTTTTCCCATCAGCCCCCGTCACTATGAAATGCTTCTATTCCAGTTTGTCCTGTTCCCCGTTTCCCTGTAGGCATGGTTGTCCTGCACTTAGCCTCATTTTAGTCTGGATTGGGTCATAGTTGGTCTGTTGTCCTGCTAGAGAGTGTTTTCAGAATATGACACTTTAATTCAGCCACAGTCCCACAGTGAATGCTGCTTTGTGTTATACTCCATGCATGTGCTGTAATTATTTGCACTGCTTAAACCTGCTAAGAGAGCTGGATTAAAGATAAATGTTTAATGGAGCTAAATGTTATTTTCACAAGTGTGGAAACTCCTGCCCAGTGTATGATGGGAAAGAATTAAGGATTTAATTCAACTAATTCCCATTTCCATGGAGTGTGATAAAAATCTTAATAATTATATTCAACTAAAAATCTATTAACTTTAACTTCATTAAGGACAGTCAAACATAATCAGTGTAAGTAAGCACTAATATGTTCATGTGCAGACTGCAGCAGTAGTAACAGTGCTGTAGATCAGGTGATTGTATACTGACACAGTATATATAGTAGGATGTGATATTGCAGCATGATATTCATTCAAAATACTTTCTCTTCACACTTTAGTGTCAGAACCTGGGGAAGCTGACCACCGTGCAGCTGGGTCATGATAATGCTGGACTCCTGGCTAAATGGCTGGTGGACTGTGTAATGGTGCGCAACGAGATCACAGGACACACCTACAGGTGAGCGGGCAGGGGGTGTACTTTAGCCTGCGCCAGTGGCAAAGTCAATACTATAGGATGGATTTCTGTGAATGTTTTTCCAGAGGTTGAGTCATGCTGATATTGGTAATTTTTTCCTCTAGCACCACTAGTGTGAAATACCTTTTATATCATCTACTACATGTGTTGCCATGAAATTTACTGTAGATATTTCCCAGAGGGAAATATTCTGATAACGTTGTTATGTTAACGGTGATCATTTGACTCTTCCTCTTAGTGAAACCAGCAGGCCAAAGATTTCACCTATCCTGTCAAATATCTCAGCATTACAATATGTCCCAGCACAGAAGTTAGTATATCTATCCATGCTCCCCATAGGATCAATCCTGCTGATAATGGGAAATTTGCGTTTTTTATAAATTATCGGGATAATCAAATTACAGCTGATAAATTATCAGAATATATTAATGCAAAAGGATTGATGGGGTTTAACCTTACTAGAAAAAATAAACAATGAATATTTATAGAGTCACAACTGTTTTTGTTTGCTGTTTTGTTTACAATAATGGTGTCATTTAGATTTGGTTATATCAGAGCTGTGGAATATAAAGTAATCCATCTTTGCTAGACTTTCGTACCATCAGGTATGTAAAAACTACAGGTTATAAACTTCTTTCTTTCTTTTTTAAAGTTATTTTTTTTGGCCTTTTCATGCCTTTATTAGATAGGACAGCCGGGTTCGAACCCGGGCCGCTGCCAGCAACTCCAAAATATATGGGTCGCCAGCTCTACGAGTGCAGCTAACCGGGCGCCCAATATAAAGCTTATCTTTTTTAAACACCTAAAATGTGAAATTGTAACTGGATAATCTTTATCATGTATTGGCCATTGAAAAGGGTAATTATCGGTTATTGTATTGTCAGTATTGGACAATTAAGGGTCAAGTATTGTGGCTTTACACACATACGATGAGGACACAGCAAAAAGAAAAGAACAAATGAGATGACAGCCCCTGGTTGTCTCTGTCTCCTCTAGGTTTCCATGTGGCCGGTGGCTGGGTAAGGGCGTGGACGACGGCAGCCTGGAGAGGGTCCTGATCGGTGAGCTGGTGGTGCCCAGCGGAGAGGAGGATTTTGGGAGATGCTGCCGCACTCCCCCGCTGCAGCGCTCGCCATCCCAGACCAGACGCATCAGCATCACATCTCTGTCAGGACGAGGATACAGTCAGTACCTGCAAGCACTCACATGCATCAGGAGAAATACCGGGATACAACTGTCAACTCACTGTCAGAGCTGTAGCTGGGACTTAAAACATAGGAAAGCAGTTATTGTAGGAGTGGTTATTAAGACATTTCTGTTTTATAAACTCAACTAACCAATTTCTAAGTGTCTCTATTTCCCCCACAATCAGAACCAAATGACATAGTTACTTCTAGGAAACGTCCAGGTAAATAATCAGTAAATTATTCAGCCCTGTAAGACAAAGCGTTGCCTTTTTATTTCCCAACACAAAAGCTGTTTTAAGCTGTGTTTGTCCACTGTGTGCCACCAGAATAATTATGGGCTGTTGCAAAGTACATAAAAAAAGCAATTTTAATGTTAAATTAGCATTTAAATGATGCATTAATAAACCAAGGTAGGGACCAAAGTAAAATCATCATAATAATGAATGAATGAATGAATGCATTCAAAAACTGGCAAAACTTATTTTAAAAAGTTAAAGAAAAATATTTTAAACTTGACTTTTTGATATTCCATTTATCCGACTGATATATCGGTCGATATATTATTGACCAGTCACAGACATATCAGTATTAAATATGTTATCCGGTATGTGCCAATTTCAACTATATAATGCAGGAAAAATGTTTGCTGGAGAAACTTTGCACTGACAGCAATATATTACCACAGAGTGCACTGTGATTTACAATACTGTGGCAAGAAGCAGCTTTCAGCAATGTTTATTAGAATTGACCACCATTATGGCTGACGTTAAAATCCAGCAGTGTAGGCCGACCCTGTTCAGCTACAGACAGCTTTATTCCTAATGAGATTATTTATTGTTGACTGTTGTTGAATCCTGAATGGAACCAGGTTCAAGAACCAGAGATATTTTGGTGGAAAGGGGGTTCTCCTGATCCACGCTTCTCTTCCTAATCGCTACTATTTGGAATTCCAGAGTTTTTGAACCATTCATTTTACCTCTGTTTACTATCTTACCATCACATTTTAGCTCGTAGCTAATCATGGACGTATGTGCACGCTATTTGAATGAATGTGACTACATAACAGGTTTATGTTGAAACGAATATTACAGGAAAAGCAAAACTTGCAATCAGTATAGCATTAGCATTTTTCTCCTAGTAGAGTAGTTGTTTTAAATGTATTTCATTAGATTCCTCCGCATACCACTAGAGGGAGTTGGGATAGTACACATAGTATAGTTTGAGGACCAGTGTGTTAAATTATTTATCAATATTCTTTAATAAGGTGATTTGTTTAAGAAAACAACACACATAGAAAATGTCTATTTTCATTCCAGCTCAAAAATTCACTACATTGGCTGCCATATTGGGAATCTTTGAAATGTTCTCCTCTAAAATCCCATGTCTATTGGGTTCAACTGTTAACAGTTTGATATAGCAATAGGTGACGCTCATAATGTTGGGTTGTTAATGACACTATTTTCTTGATTCCAGAACTGACTTCAGGCCAAATTCAAGAGGCCATCGGGGAGGCTGTGAACAACATCATCAAACATTTCCACAAGCCAGAGAAAGAGGTGAGGGACTGATCTCCACTGTGTCTGAATTCCTCTGTTTAATAATTGACAAACTTATTTGTTATTCGCTTTCCTATGCCTGTATTTTCTCTGAACCCTTCACATCTCTAAACTGTGTGGATTGAATTATCTCTGTCTGTGTCCACAGAATGTTCATTAAGTTTTAGTCAGTAAAGTGGTGTTATACTGTCCACAGCAGAGGAAACAGATGTTGTACAAATGGCTCAGGCCGCTATTATCCAGCACTCTTTAAGAGCCCTCTGTCTGAGGAGTGATGGAGAGAGAATAAAGAGTGGAGAGTGATGAATGCAGCCCCAAAAGAGGCCACGAACCAGACAATTCTGGTTCCATTTAATCCGAGGCTCTTTCTCCTCAAAGGGCTGCATAAAATCCTCTCCTCAAAGCTATGAAAATCTGCTACAATGAAGCCAGGACTCCTGCACGACTATGTCAAAAAAAAACAGTTTGTCTGCACTCTTTGTTAGCCAGCTCAAACTGCAGTGTCATGCTTAGCTGAGTGAGGAGAGACTCTTTAAAAGTCATTAAATGTACTCAGAGTAGTGGGCAGCTGCAGGCAATGAACCTCACATCAGCGTTTTGGAAAAATACACTCACAATGGACGATAAGCGTTTTTTGCTTGTGGGTGAGTTAATAATGATCCACAGAATTATCTCATTAAAGGACAAAGAGAAACATGCAGATGGTGTTTAATAGGAAATACAATATGCCTGACAAGTCATTATTTTACTTCAAGCAGCCATAATTGATATTTTTCTACTAGCGTATTAAATGACAATATTAAAGGGGGCTCTGGGAGGTGGACCTACAGAGAATGGTCAGCTCAGTCTGCAGCTCCCATCAACTTGACAGAGCTTTATAGTGAGTTTCAGCTCATTGTTTGTTTGCTGTATCTGTCCCAGCCCCAATTTTATTGTTTTGGTTCACTCTCACCGCTCTCATAGTGACGTTTTCAGCTGCAGCAGGTAGAAAAATCCCTGATAAACCCACTGTACACTACCTGCTCAGCACCAAACAGCAGACAGACACTTCAGGTTTCCACCAAAATGTAGTCACATTTTAAAATCTTCAAAATGTTGCAACTTTGATCCACTGCTTTTAAGCTAATATTAGGAGTTGGTTCATTGAAATAAGCAGTAGACGGCAATAATGCTCAAATGCCATTATAAGAAGATGATGTAATTAATAGAGCACCAGTCAAACATGTATGGTAATATAGTATTTATGTTTGTGTTATTTGTGGAGTTATTTCAGTTCCAGCACAGATTGAATCTGAATTCCGTAGTTTTGATTTTGAAAACTGAATATTTGAAACTGTATTTCACAGATTGAAACTGAATCTTATGGTTTTGAATTAAATTGAACTTGTATTGCTTTCAGTTTGTGAGTACTATTATATGTGTGCTCTAGAAAACAAGAAATTCTAAATACATTGATACAAAGAGGTAGTGAGTTGTGAGGTGCAGCAGGTCTTTTGTCAGCCGTGACAAAATGGGCAAGAAGTCTGATTGAATCAGAGCTCTTCTATTGTAGCCTAGAGTCCTCCGGATGAGTGCGTCTGAGTTGAAACTTCTTTTTTCTTATTTTCTTATTTCTTTTTATCAATCCAACCAACTTTTCCACCTCGGCCAAGCGTAATAACTTTTATGTGATATTTAGACTTTTTGTCAAATCTTTGGTGTTTCCACCCACGTTTTTTGATAATGCGCATAGAGACAGGGAGGATGTAAATCCACCTACAGTTAGAGACTAGCTAGTACGTTGTCTGTCCTCATGTTGACTTCTGTTCTCTGTGTGTTTCATGTGTTTGTCTCTTGGTTTTCTGAATGCAGAGAGGCAGCCTGACCGTCCTGCTGTGTGGAGAGAACAGCTTGGTGGCAGCTCTGGAACAGTTCTTCCATCATGGCTTCAAGTCTGCCCGGCTCTTCCAGAAGACTGTGTTTGTGTGGGACTTTGTGGGTGAGTGTGGAGCGCCAGCGCCATCTACTGCTGATGAGATGAACTATTTCATTTGGCCCGGTTTAGGTAGTATCAGATCTTATTTACTGAAGCAGTTTTTTGTGAATGCTTGCATGATTTATGCAACTGGAACATGCCTGCTTCAGTTTTCAGAAAAGGCATATGTAAAAAGGGAAGAGGTTGCATCACTGAAGAGTAGTGTTTTCCATCAGTGAAGGAATATATTTGTTTAAGGAGAGAATTAACAGTTTGTTCAGCTGGTACCCCACAGTCTAAGGCTGTCGAGATGTGAAAGGAAACTGTTCTCCCCTCCCCCTGCAGAGAAAGCTGTTGCCTACATGGAGTCAGCTGACCAGATGGGGGACCTTCAAGAGACTGCGGAGCCCCTGGGGATGACCTGTCAGTCACTCTGTCACTATGTCAACGCCATCAACTCCACCCACAGGAACATTGGCAAGGATGGGAAGTTCCAGCTGCTGGTCTGCCTCGGAGCCAGGTCAGTTTGAGGAGAACACACATTTGCTTAACTTGGAGATGTCTGCTTTGTAATTCTGTAATGTATATAGTATTCACAGTGAACATGGGTTGGAAATATATATCTATATATATCTTTGGCCAGGTCTCTGTTTGTTCAGAGGAACTTAGGCATCAACTTCTCCATTAAAAAAAAAATAACAGCACAGGAAAAAACAGCAATAGTCACGTCAGTAACTTACATTTATACACTTATATATACCAAATTCACTTGTCACACTTGAGCACCAGCGTTTCAGACCAAAACAGTGGGACAGAAACAAAATAAAACTAACCAAAATCTACTTTGTTAGCCTTTCTAACAATGAAAATATCTGTGAAAAAGGCTACAATGGTTGCAACATAAGCTAACATTAAGGAGAACAGTCTTTGTTAGTCCTTCCACTGTTCCAACAATTACCGAGCATGCTCACTGACTACAGTCAAGTCAGAGCTCTCAGGTCATCAGATGGTGAGTAATGCTGAAATCGCTGTAATAAATGAAGAGGTTAGAGGTCTGGCTCATGCGTCATGTATTACACATGCATTCTACTGAGCATCAGTATCTACTGATATAGCACTCCTGCCATAGATCTACATACGTTATCTCACTGTTCTGCAGAGACCGTCTGCTGCCCCAGTGGCTCCCCCTGCTGGTGGAGTGCCCGGTGATCCTTCAGATGTACGAGGACACGGCCCTGCTCAGAGACCGCACCACTGTCAACGCCCTCATCGGAGTCCTGGAGACGCTCCACGACTTCCCCATCACACTGGAAGCCTCGCTGGTCAAAGGTATCGACCTTTAACCCCAGGATGGACCACCGGGCTGCCACATGTCTACATTCCCCTCACTACCACCAACTTCACCCACTGTTCCACTTTTAGCCAGTTACCTCTGGGATTGAGGAGAGGGAGAGAGGACATGAGGGACAAGAAATTAAAACTGACGAGGGGTTTGATTACCAAAGCAATGTGAGAGACGTCAGGGCTTTGGATGCAGTATTATTACCCCACCTGTGGCTCTGAAAGACCCTTTTAATTAAATTACAACCAATGCTTAGTCACGTTTTAATTCATTAACTACAAATACTTCACATTACAATTTTCCAGAACATGCCATTAATTTTCAGGTTGATTTCCTGCCTTTCATGCAGCCTATGGTTACACTGTTTGTCATTACACTAAACGTGAAGCAACATAAAGCTTGCTGGAGAAATGCAATCCATAACAGTATTTTGTCATCAAATCCTATTCCATACCCTGACACAGTGCTTGGAAGGAAGGAAATTAATCTGGATAATTTAAAGTGCGCTGAAAGTTGCGGACAGTAACACACACTGATATAAAGATAAACGGGATGAAAGAGTGCAAAACCACCCGTGTGGTTCTTTAAAATGTTAGTAGCAGCAACAGCAGCAGCAGACGTGCCTGTGTGCTAGCTGTGTAGCCTAGCCCTCCTTCGGTAGGTACAACTAGACATTAACTGCGTTATAAACTCTCTCTCTTTGCTTTTAACTGGTGATTACAGCGCCACTACCCCCACACCCTAGTTAGCGTTAGAAAGCATGCCTGCGGGATGTGGAAAGAAGAGACGACCTCAGGAAGATACTGAGTGATCGCTGATACACTGGAACCAGGATTATGGCAAAGATGGCGATGTGACCCTCTTTTAATTCTCTGGAGGGCGTTTGGGCACTTTCTCCACTTTTATCCTGCTGTGTCTGACTGTATGTATGTGTGTGTGTGTCACATTTCAAGGATGTGTGTGCTCTGGTGTGTTTGCCCTCAATTTATTTTTATATCTGCCAACTTAAAGTTTTCAAAGTGATCAACTGGTTTCTGTAGTGTACTGTAACACTGTGTGTGTGTGTGTGTGTGTGTGGGTGTGTGTGTGTGTCTGTCTGTCCTGGTAAGAGTGTGTGTGTGATTCGTGCCAATATCGTCACTTCAGGAACAGCTAAATAAAAAAATTAAACTAAATAATCCTAACTGAAGGTCAATTTACTACCTTTTTCCAGTGCTCTCAACCTAATTGTGTCACACGATGGTTGAAAGCTCTGGCAAAGGCTAGAAAGCGGACCTTGAGCTCAGATTGTTTTGTCAAACTACCATTCCCAAGATCAAGATTGAACTTTTACACAAGTAAGCTAAATGTTCCTGTCTATGGAACATATAATGCACCATTCATGTCATATGGCATGTGGAACTACAAGCTCCCAACCTTGAAATACAGAAAATTCCAGGTCATAAATACAGATTGTCAACCAGGAGGTCAGAAATCTCCATTTTTTACTTTCTGCTAGATGAAAAATAGGAAATGTCCCTTTAAATCCAGACTTTAATTTAAACGTTGGGCTTGTTTTCTTAAATCCTGCTTCACAATGTGACATCAGGGCATTTATGTTGTATGCAACAATGTGTGTTACCCTTTCTAGATTATAAGAAGATTGTCATCCAGCTTGTGTCTGTGTGTTAGGAGTGTTAGGAGCTGGAGTCAGGATGTTGTTAGCTTAGCTTAAGAAGTAGTCACTGTGCCTGTCTGACTGTTGTTTGCCAAGAAATAGTTCCAGTATTTTCCTCCTCCTTAAACTTTCAGATTTCTGTTTATACACAGGTTAAAAACCAGGTATTTCCTGTACCTAACACATCTTTAAAGTTGTTCCTATGCATATTTTTTAAAAGGCAGTCTAGCTGTTTCCCAGTCTTTACGCTAAGCTAGGCTAACCACATCCTGACTCCAGCTCTGTATGTAATGCACAGACATGATCCATCTTTTGATTTCACTCTTGGAAAGAAAGCAAAAAAACATACTGAACTATATATAAGTTTGTTAAAGCTGTACAATGACAATTGTCTGGTGCAAACTAACAATATACAGCAAGTGTCAGAGTTCAAACTGATGGAGGTCTTTAATGTTCAGGTTGTGGAAAGGTATAATAGCTGCAGTAATGACATTTTAAAGGATAAGGTTGGAGTTATCCTGTTTTTTTTATTGTCAACATTTCACATATGAAGTTTCTTAATACTTTATTACTACCCTACCCTTTTGGTTGTTAAAGAAAAAATCTTTCAGAACACATCCCAAGTATATAGTTTAATTTAAAAGGCTCAGTAATTTTGTGAAGCAGCTGGTCACTGTAGTTTTTTACAAACTTCACTCAAACAGGAGGAAATGCATCTTTTGACTATTTTCAGTGGTGGATTATTCCAGAGTTGGTTCACAAGTGGGCATTTACTGCCCTAGGACATGTTTTTCCACGGAGGGTTGTTTGTTTTTGGTGAGGGGTATTTCTGTGGGATTTGTTGACAATAAGAAAACTACAGAATATTAGCCTTTAGTTTAACTGTTAATTCCCATATTATATGAATGTAACACAACCTCTATCAGGTATAAAAGCAAGGAACAGGCTCTATCTTTTCATCTATGATATTAAGGAATTAAATTGAAACCCCTTCACCTCCAAACACACAAACTGCCAACAGAACTGTGTGGAAATTCTAATAACTATTGTTCTCAGACGGATTTTTATTCCCCCTTTAAACTTTTGCTGCATGAGAGATTTTGCCACTGTTGCCACTTACCGCCGTCTAAATAAACCCTTTCTGAGGAGTGGTGTAAATATTCTCATTAGTGCATGTTGACATTTAGACTGAGCTGTATTTATTGTGACCCTCTCTAATTAACGCTAGATGAGTTTTGATAGGACAAAAAGTGGACATCTTTGCAACCCCAGTTCCCCGTAGTATGTTCACTGTTTCCTGTATTGAGTCTGTGAAGGACGCAGCCTATCATGGTTTGTTTTGAATGTCTTGAGTTCGTGTATTTATTAATTTAGTATTAATCCGCGGCAGGCTGACAGCAGCAAAGGTATTTTAAGGTTGGTGAAGCCTGTGGAATAACTGGAAACATTCATGTCTTTAAAACGGTAACCACTATTTCCACTTCATGTGTTTCTATCGTGTTTTAACCTCTGTGCTCCTGCTGCTGTGCCCCCTGATGCCTCACCTACAGGACTACCCACAGCTCCAAAGCACAATAACGGATTCCTCTGTCTCGTCCTGGATTTGTTTGTGTACAAAGTCTTTGCTGGACTGACTTCTTGGAGGCTTTGTGGACGATTGAGAGTCCTCCGTAGACTACTGCACATTTTGCTTACTGGGTGGATTTGTTACATGAACGTGTCGTGTGACGAGTGGTATTATTAACCCTGAGTGGATCTGCTCAAACTGGAAACAGGAAATGTGACAGCCATGATGGCGGTGGCTGCATTTCCTGCTGCTGGCAAGACTGCCACCGGACAAATAGAGTCTCGTCTGTGTTGGACTGACTACTATGTTTTGATATTTATTATGCCTATTTCAATAAAAGCATCCACTGTATTAATGTGTTTGTGAGTGTGTCCATGAACTAAATGTTCCTGTTTGTTTATCAGAAGTGAAATAATATTTCACTTGTGTTAAATGTAAAATGTTTCATAATTGATAAACATGAAAAATGTGCATTACATGTGATAAAGTCACATCTCATTTTTGATTTAAACATACTACAAGGAGTTTTTTAACTGGTTATGAAACAGTCTCAATTTAATACTGATCTCTATATGACCTACATACACAAAGAAGACTATCAGTGAGAACACTATTAGCTATTTCTATAGTCATTCTTAATGCCTGCCACCAGGTTGGATTCCCCTTGAAATCAATGAAACGTGGTGGAAACACTACCACTTTTGTCCACAGGGGCCGCCAGAATTTACACAAAATGAAAGCTCCTGTAGGGGTTTTAGATACATGTTTTTGGAAATAGTTGTCATACATAAATAAATTATCTGATATCTGTCTCAGAAAATATATTTGTGTATATTTGACTGTCGCAGAAAAATATTTACATTAGTCTACATGCATTTCTAAATACACAATATTAAAACTAGTTTCCTACACAGTCTCACAGGGACCACATTTTGGGTCCAGATTCTAAGTAGATTTAGAAATATAATAACTGAGTGACATTATAATCTTATGTAATATTTTAAAAAATGGCTTGTGCCAGTCTTGGGTAGAAGTCATGAGTGTACAGCAGCAGTATCTATGTCCCTTACATAACCTACATGTTATAGCATCAGTACTGACATTATTCTTGCAAAGGCGGTTACATCAGATGGATCAAATTTGAATGGCATAAATTAACCAGATGGTACAGTGTTTACCACCATCGCAGCATACTGTATTCTGTTTTTCACGTATACATAAATTAGGTTACAAAAAAAAAGGAGCTTGTAACCCAAAAAACACAGGAAAGATTTGTGTGATGAGAAGTAAAGAACGTGAGGCATTGCCCTATATGAGGGGAAGTATTTTTTTTATTGGTCTGAACGTTAAATACATAGCAATGTAAATGATACAATATACACAGAGAACAGTCATGTTTTGAGAGATTAAGATGAGATCAATATTACAAATTCTCCCTTTTTGTCTGATTACTTTTAATAATTTCAACATATAATCTGACGTATTAGGATTTGTTAAATCAGTAGTCCCAGATTAGATATGTTAGTTTTGTTGCAGTATCCTGCTTCACTTTATTTACTTATACAGTTACAGTTTATTTGCAGCTATTTTGCTGATAACAAAACAATTTCTACGTTTCCAGTTGAAGAAAGAAAGCACCTTGCTGCACACAGTATTTTAGAATGAAATGCTAATATTTTTCTTGGTTACTTTTCTTGGTTACTTTTCTGATTTACAGACACTGGAGTGGAAGAGAAGAGGTCACTGCAATATTTTTAACAATTTAATGAACATTTTTCATTTTTTAAGTTTAATATGTAGCATAGTGTGAAAAGTTGTGATTATACCTAGACTGTAGAAAATAAAATACATTCATATATTAAATATATTTGTTATTATTCATATTATTATATTTATACTCTACAGCATATTAACAACCATACTGTCTTGTATTTGTACCTATTATTCATATCTAAGCCTAAACACAACTGAAAACATATATATACAAAACACACACACAAAAGAAATAAAATGTTAAACTATAAAACTAAACTAAATTTGAAAAAAGAATAAAATAAGTGTTACCAGAGCCCCCTCCTGGCAGCTTCTCGGCCCTGCAACCTCTCCATAGCAACTGGCTAAACCTCTTTTCCCGCCTAAATATCACTCCTTATATGGGTATCGCAATGTGTTTACGCAGGCAGGCGTCATACAGCTGTATGCAAATCAAGATGATTGAAGAAAGTCAGAAAATGGTGGCGCGGGAGTCGGAGGAGGAGTGGCGCGCCTGCGTGTACGTTTCTACTACGAGCACACTGGCTGCGTCAGGCTAGCGACACATAGCCATCGCGATATCGGAAGTTGTAGACCTTGCCTTCAAAATAAGTGTATTGTCGTTACTTCAAAACGCGACCGAATTGCCTGCTTCTGACACCGGCATTAATTTGAAATACCAAGTGGAAGTGCTTTTTGTTATTCTCGTGTACCTTGACGCTTCGGCGGGCAACGTTGTACCTGATGGTCTGCAACGGCATTGTTAAATGTTAAATGAGAGACACTTCTGACAAGAGCTCGCTTTACCGCATATGACACAAGTGTGAGTCGCTCAGCTTTTCCCTTTGAAACAAGGTAAGTGTGTTTGCTGACTTTGTGTACAGAGAAAAGTGTGTTTTATGGGCTCGCTGTCTGTCGGCGTGCAGTAAAGTTGTCGGAGGATGGTGCTAATAGCGTGACCCGAACCAGTTGTGTAAGCCAGTCCGACAAACAGCGCCGAAGTACCGTAAAGCTCAGTATTAATCACCACTGAAGCGTCGGTAATACTTTATATAACACTGGGGATGCCGTGTGCTGTTAAAAGACTGTACATCCATGATGTCTGTCCGCCTGACGACGCTCAGCTGGGTGACTTTAGCTAACTAACTTAGTTGCTTGGTTAGTTGGGGAAACATTAACGTACTTCAGCTCTAATAGTTTGCTGGAAGCTAACTTGATTCTGTTTCTAATGTTTAATGTTAGCTCGAACACACACTGTCGAGGCGGACAAGACCACCGACCGCTCACTTTCCTTGTCCAAAGGACTGCTCGAAGCGACATAAAGATCCAATGTTCCGCTAGCTAAAAATGCGTAAAGTATTATTTTTCACGTTAAATTAAAGCCAGTAACCAGAGCTGGTGCGTGGAAGGCTGAGCTCGACTTTGTTGTCGGGGTGGTGGGTGTGTTTCCTGCGTCAGTGCCCAGCCCCCTTCAGGAACATACAGCTCTAACGACACGGGTTCAAACGCAGCATGGCGTCGTTAAATCTGCAACTTCTCGAAGCAACTTTTGTAAAACCGCGACTGTAAAAATGTCAGCTCTGTCGCGCCGTAGTTCGACAACGTTTCAAATGAAGTGCGGTGAATGAGCGACAGCTCTGCCCCTGTATCCATTGTCGGACATGAAGTGAGCTGCTAGTAAACCTGTTTGTGTATGAATGGCTGGCCCGAACCCACTAACCATTTCTGTTGTAAAAGCAAGAACTTGTATTAAACGTATTGTTGTTCAGTTGCACGTTGATGTCCGATAATGGGCGCACGCTGTTTCCACGTTGCAATCTGAGGAAAGAGTGGGCCTAAAAACACAATGAACCTCAGCTGAGCATTTTAACAACAGTCACGTTGTCGTTTGTGATTTTACGTATTTTGCGAGCGGATCTTATCCACGGCAGCATGGCAGTGAGGAGATGGACAGCGCACGGGCCGACGAACGAGACGAAACGTCAGTCGCGTTTGTGACTTTTGTCCACTTTTCTTGTCGTATTCTGGTGGTTTTGCAGCCGTGAGTCGCTGCCTGCTGCAGACTCATGGGTCGGCAGTACAACATGTGCCAGGCTTCAGTCAGGACAGGATTACACAATCACCGCCGCACCAGGCAGCACGTGACATTTCAAATGTTGTCACAGCCCAGAAACGATCCCATAATTCATCTGTCTCCAGAGTCAAAAGCAGCTTTATTCCCAAATAGGTTTTCACATACACATGTGCCATTCTGGGACTCACTGATATCTTTTGAACATTTGTGTCGCAGAACGCGTCTGTTTCCGTTTCCTCTTGTACCGGTTGAATCACAGTAAAATATGTAAAGTGAGTTGCAGAGAGTGCTTTATATCGGTGGTTGCTGTCGATCAGCTCGACTCAACATCCCGGCGGCCACATGTCGAGCCTCCAGTTGCATCAGCACCACTGTTGCGTAAGAGGCAGCCATACCGCGCTGTTCTTTCCTCAGTGATGCTCAGCCTGATAACCTGACTGGTTCACAGCGCGCGCACACACACACACACACACACACCCATCTCCTCCTCTCCCCCCGTGTCCACAGGAGCGGCAGGAGGGGGTAGGCTTAAATGGCATATGACGCAAATGCGCATATTACGCACACAGACTCCGCTTGTATGCTTTTTAAATACCGCTCTTTATGAGGGTACATCAAGTAGATATAAAAGTGTAAATATGCTCAACTACAGTGTGGTTTTCCTCAGTAATACGCAGACATTAAACCTGCTGCCCCTTGTCCAAATCCAAAATCTGAACTCCTAAAGATGATGCTTAATGGAGGTCCTTTTTGACATTCATTTGTTGCATTTCAAAGTTAGTTTTATTTTGATCTAAAGCTGAAATGACTCATCGCAATGCTAAAACTACATATGCATTTTTCAAGCAAAAACTGTGTTTTTCTTTTCCTCATTGGATAGTAACTGAATATCTTTGGGTTAGTTATCTCCTTGGGCTTACAGAAGTAGTGATGGATGTTTTCAAAAAAACTAACAAGATAATCAGCTATGACAATAATTGTCAGCTGCAGCCCTATTTTGATCTATTGTTCTATAATGAAAGTGGCCCATCTTCCTTTGTAGTTCATATGTATTTGGTGAAACTTGCAGGCAACCAAGTTAAATGTAACTCTTACAGCAGGTTTTCTTTCCCAGGAGAAAGTCCAGAGACAGTAAAAGAATAAAGTAGCTCTGATTTGAGGCGCTGCAGCATCCTCATCCATTGTGTTTCTCTGCCTGTCACTGTAGATGTTTGGCTTCCACAAGCCGAAGATGTACCGGAGCATCGATGGCTGCTGCATCTGCAGGGCCAAGTCGTCCAGCTCCCGCTTCACTGACAGCAAACGCTACGAGATCGACTTCAAGAGCTGCTTTGGGTGAGTCAGCAGCACCTTCCACATTTTTGGATCACTGAGGCACAGTTTAACTCAGGTCTTCGATGGGTTTCGATTCAGCGTGAGGTGAAAGTGACACACATGGGTCACGATAGAAAAAAAGTGTGACATCCGTACATTCATCGTCACATTATGCCATATTGGGAATTGAATTAAAAGTAAATATGTATGCTTATCTGACAAAATACAGCGGTAGTCTATAAGAAAACAATGGGCAGAGTCAGTCACTACCAATACCTGTGAAATTTCACAATTCTCTATACCAATTCCATACCATGGTAAAAATGTCAATCGATCAATTTTTTTTGCCCCCTTAATATGCTGATAGAGTCCTGATCCAATACTGTCTTCTTTAATAATACAGGTTAACAGTTCTGCATGGCATTAAGAAAAAAATGCCTGCATCCAAACTGTTCCTTATTGGTTTTTT